ACCATGAACGACGGTGATTTCTACAGGGGCGATCAGCAGAAGAGGCTTTTTGAAAGCCTCAACATGGTTATGAAAGCAGGAGGTTGCAAAACCAATTTCACCGTCTACGACACCGAAGCTTACTTACACGATGGTCAGCCACTTCCAAAAGCAAATCCCAGCAGCCCACCACATGCCTGGGCGCTGTCAAGCAAGTTCGCCTCCGACTTCGCTTCCCCTTCTCTGGTGAGCCGAAGTCCGCTCTCAAAATCTGCGCCTGCGACACAAAAATCCGTGTCCAAGGGCCCAGAGGCAGCGACAGTGGATGCCTGGATTCAGTGCCTTAGAAGACCAGACATAGCTGTTACAGGCCGTTTGCGATACTGCCCTTGGATGCCCTTTGTTTCCCTAAGCCAGACACCCTAGACCCCGGACCCCAAATCTTTCCAAAAATTGTTGCAGACCTGCCTTTCCTTACTGGAGGTTAGTAGGGAAGAAGGGAATGTGCTATATTATGGGGCTTATTTGGGGATTATATTCCCTACTAACCACGAGTAAATTGCAACCGTGAACGCTACACCGTGTGACAAGGTACCTTCTCGAGCGTGAAACATCAGCAGGCCACGAAGCTCCAAAAACATGCAGAGAGCCGACCGTCACTTGCAGCCAAGGCAGCTAACATACTCAAGGATTTAGGATGTAGAGTTGAGGGCTTAAGGTTTAGAGGTTATCTAAGGATTTAGTGGGATTAGAGTTTCCAAAAACTTGCCCAAAACTAAGGATGAAAGAATGTTGAATTTTGTTGGGCCTACGTTGGGGTCCGCTGATCTAGGGGAACTACCAAATTTCGTGACAGCTATGAATCCTTATTAGTGGCTCGACGTCCATATAAATGGCAAGTTAAGTTTCTCGACGACAGCCCAGGTGAGTCCGGACCAGTGGCACTGGGCACTGGGCCGAAACCTCTCCTATACACATATACCCAAGACAGCCGGGACATCGCTTGCACAGGATGTTCCCAAGTGTCTGGGTTGTTGTTAAGGAACTTAAATTATGCTACGATGCTACGGTTTAAATTTACTCCACGATCTTTCTGCAGAATCTTAAGTGTTAAGTTCCAACCCAGGTATCTGTCGAAAAGAAGCTGGATTTCCTACCAGGCCTGCTTCGAGGATATGAGCCACCACTTTACGAACTCCATCAACGTGGCATTCCTTCGCTCCCCGCGGCTGAGCTGTCGAAAAGAGCTCTTCATTCGTAAAAGGCTTAGCTTTTAGACTTGAGTCTTTTAAGTTCCTCCTCAGCAGCCCAGGCGGTCACACATTCTGTCCGAGTTTTTGGAGTGTACTTACGATGAGTGGGGTAAGTGGAACACCGGCAAACACAATGAGTGGGCAGAAAAACAGTCAAATCATGGTATCGCCACCACGAAATTCCCACGGACGGGAAACGAGGAAAAGGATTTCCAAGCCTGGCTGGGTTACTTTGTCAGCCTCCCCCTCAAGAATACTGGAGGGCGAAATGATTTTCGGTGCATTGATCCCCGAGACCTGCAGACGCGACACATGAGCTGTAGCCTTGGCGACGTACCTTACCGGCAGGACGTCGTGAATCATGCATTGGAAGATCCCCCGGATTTGGCCCGTGCTCTCCGCAACAATGAAGCTGCAGATTTCCTGGGCATCGCTGACCTCTACGTCGCATCTATGTGCATGCTTCTTTATCGTTTGTCTGGTACGCTCGTTTCGGGCTGCACTTGCTCAGAGGCGTCAGCGCCAGGCTTTTCGCACATCACGCATGGTGTCCCGCGGCACTCCGAAGACCTGCCGTCACAAGCAGCCAGATCTGCAGACCTTCTGTCTAAAATGGATAGACCGCTCTTCATCAATGGCTTGCTGAGGTTCCTGTGTGATGTCAAAGCCTTTGAAGCATATCTGAAACAGCAAGTTGTTTGTCCAGAAAACCTGGACAAACTTTGGCGCAAAATCCGCTATCTTTTCTAATTAAGTGGCAAGGCAGGTTTGGCGAAGCATCAAGCCCGTTCGAAACACTGCTTACTGGTGGCCAGAGCGAAGGGTGGAAGGGTTCCGTGTAGGGGTACCTGTATGATCCCTAATGATGCAAGGTTCCAGTTTGTTTTCCATCCCTGCAAATCCTACCAACCACTAGTAAGAAAGCTCCAAACCTCGAACCCTAAACCCGAACTCCAATTTCTTCTTTTCCATTCCCCAGAGCCTGATCCAAAACACAGGCAGTGGCACAACATACATCGGAAAATAGCCACTAGTGCTTAGTAGGGGAGGGGCTGGAATGAGGGAATGCTTAGGGTGTAGGATTGTTAGGCTCTAGGGTCCCTGCACAACTTTACGGTACTACTTTTCCCCTACCCTCTTCTCTTCATCGCCAGTGTAGTAATGATCGGAACTTTAAACGTAGATCTCATAACACTTTAAAACTCAAACCCCCAAATCCTAAACCAACTGAACCCTAAAACCCCTAAACCAGACCTTAAACCCCTAAAACCCCAGAAAAGTCCAAGGTTTCCCCCAGTCCCTCCTAAGCACCAGAGAAATCGGACAGTGGAGTCGAATGTGGTTAGGGGATGGAAAGATTGATGGCTTTTAGGCTTGGGGATTGGCGTTTGGGGTTGAGGAATGCAGGGCGTAGGGCTTTGCGCTTAGAGTTGGGGGTTTAAAGACTAGGGTTAAAGGTTTGGGGTTTAGGGTTTAGGGATTTGAGTTCAGGGTTAGGATTAGGGTTTAGGGTTTAGGGATTTGGGCTTAAAACTTGGGGTGTCGGGATTGTTTAGGGTTTGGGGTTTAGGGATTCGGGTCTAGGGAAGTATGGAATGGCAAGGAGCTTTCAAACTGCTATGAATTGAGCTACTGTCTCATATGTCGGAGGTCCCTTGGAAGGGATTAGAAGGTTAATCTCTTGCGAAAACTTTGTTTAGCAGTGGGATTTCACAGCGGAAGTTCTGGGCATCCAACCCTGAAACCTTATTGCAAATGGTAAAGTTGTAGCATCAATCATCCTCCAGGGCGCGAAGCATAGGTTTTTGAGGAGTGGCGAAGGCTTCAAGGGCAGGGGCTTGGCCCAGACATGACTTCTCCTACACCCTCTAAGTGCCCATTCTGCCCTTTGCTGAGGATTGCATCTTAAACTCCTGAACTCTATTTTTTTGAGCAGTTCCACGGCAGAGTCACCTCGTGCTTCCTACGGCTGAAAACCTTTCGGCCGCGCAGGCTTATCTGATTTCGAGTGAATCGGAATTGCTGCTTCTGGCAAACAGGGCACTCACACAAAAATCAACTTTTCAGAATCCACAACGTGGACCCCCATAGCCTCTTGACCCCCAACAAGTCCCCTTAGGGATTCCACATGTTGAGAAACTCCTGCATGGAACCAAGCTACCCTAAACCAAGTATAAGGAGGTCCGCTGCGTAGCTTTGGCGCTGGCGAGGTATAGTGGATGCTGAGCTGGTCGCTGATGATGGAACCCTGCAGCCCTTGGATGTAGTGGTGGGAGAAGAGGACCTCCCTGGTTCTACAGCGTAGTACCCTGATGCTCGCTGCAACGAATGTGTTTCCAATCTCTATCAACCTTTGAGGATGCTCAAATTCCGCAAGCGATGTCGTTGCGCAACTTGGTGACAACATTCAATCAACGGGCTGTGCAAGGCCACCCGCTCCTCCCTTGATCTTTATATCATGGCATGGAATACATATGAACGTCACAGAACTATTGTAGGTCAATCCAATTTGTACATGTTGTGGCCGCATGTCGAGGATGCTTCAATGTTTTCTTTTCGCTGCAAAGGCTAAGATGGATCTCTAGCTTCAATGCACATGCTGGGAGCCAGAACAGTGGCGCCATCGTGGTGGTAGTATGTGGTAGCTGCAATAGTCCAGTTTTGCATGGTTTTGCTAAGACTTGCGGAGCATAAGGCCATGAAGGAAACGACTGCATGACCGTTGATGAGAAGCAAGAGAGTGTTCTAGTAGCTGCCGAACCAAGACAGCTTTAAGCGTGTCAGTTAGTCTTTTTAGGCTGTTTTGGAGGTTGTTGTGCTTTTCAGACGGCAAAGGAGGAAAATTCGCCGGGGGTTCAGATGAGGCATCAGTTTCCAGATGATCTCTGGAGCTTCGGGCCCAGCTCCGACGGCTAGAACCAGGAATGCGCACATGCCAGGGATGGGGCAAAAAAAAGGTAAGCATTAGCAATTTGGTTCGTGTTCAATGACATAGATGCGGCGGTAAAACATCTTGATGTTGCTGCCCTTTTGAGAGTATGGTTGTTGAGTTGCGGGGCCGAGAAGTTTTGGGACGTTGTGGGTCCGTTAGTTGGCGTGTTGTAGAACTTCCTTGTAATTATCTGCATGGCGATATAAGCTTTCGCAAGTCCCTCGGACATCCACGGTCTACGTCGCGGATACCCGCTTGTCCTTGCTGGATTTTTCCGTTCTTTTGACGCATATAAGCTGTTTTTCTAGGTCCTGGACCTTGCAGACAGACGTCGCAAGGCCAAATCCCTAAGAAAGTCTGTTTGCGGAATGACCATGTGGAGCCCAGTAAGTAATTCTTTCAGAAACCTTTTCAAGGAGAACTGATTACATTTTCGTATCGTAGCTGGCAGGTCTCAATTCCATGCTGTACAAGCGAGGGTGTGACCCAACAAGCTAGAATAAGTTTGCTTGTGTGCTTATTTGTCCTGCCTAAGCGATCCGCCATGGCATCCTCAAGTCCCTTTGCACACTTGCGAGGAGATCTGGCTACATTGTTGAGTTCATCCCCAAATCACTGCAGCTTGGCCATGATTCTCGCATTTTGAGTCATTGCCGAGCACAGGGCCATCAAAAGCCTGAAAGTGCTTGAGAGGCCATACAGCTGCATGGCAGTGGCTTTGGCCGAGTTGAGCTTCGCCTCCTCACTTCTGCAGGAGGCAGACCTGCAGCCATCTGCAGCCTGTAGTGCGGATTGACGTGAGGATAGGTAGGATGTAGGGATTTCCATGTTTCTCACTGCAATTGGCACTACTGCCTATCTGCAGGCAAGGTTGCTCTCCTCACAGGTATCAGATGGGGTTGAGGAGAGCATTCGCAAATGGGTTGAGGTTGCAGTCAGGCAGCAGGTGCTCAGCCAAGTGGTCATCAGGTCATCCTGCATGCGCGAGCCCCATCAACATCAGTGCGCCGGCATGTCAAGGATGAGGCGATCCCGCAAGCGATGTCTTGCTTATGCGAACTCATGCATGTCTTGGAGACAGGAGAGCATGTGTCAGCATGTTATATATATATATAGATATAGACATATAAATATACAAGATCAGAGCCCGGCAAATGGCAATGCAAAGGTTCTAGAAATGTGATGCACGTGTGGATCAGCGAGCCGCGTGGCCTGCTAGCAAGCAAGCTTGGCAGGAAGCAAGAGTGCAATTAAGTCAGCAATATCTCTGCCTGCAAGGTGGGCGTGGCTGTTCCTCAGCATGCCTGCTATCTTCTATGGCTTCATCTTGTGACCGAAACCCTGTAAGTAATCACAACTGCCAACCTTTGTTCACAATGCTTTGTATCGAGGACAAGCCATCATCCCGGTCATTACCAGGTCTTTTTGTCACCATTGTCAGCGTCGCGACTTTGGTCCGGATGTAGTGTGCCTACAACCTTACATATTTACCTTGTCTGCAGGTAGTCCTGCCAAAATTTTCTTGAATTCATCATGCAAATTGCATTAGGCCACCAGAAAGGGGCGGTGGCACCCCCGGGAAACAACAGTGCAAAAGTAGGGCAACATGGCAGCTGCACAAGTCAGGATTCCCCACAGCACTGTAACCAGCAAGGATTTTAATCACACCTGGCAAAAGCAGGGAGCTGAAAGTACAATCCCTGCGGCCAAACGAAGTGGCAACTATGCAAATGCAGAAGGGGGAACCTGCAGATGATCCTTCCCTCCGAATTTCGCCAAACACCCAGCAACTCTGCCTTCACAGGTATTATGGCAGCACACCTAAGGCAGCAGGGCTCCTCCAAAGCGGGTCCCAAGAGAGTAAACCACAGCTGCCACATAATCCATGCAGTGACGGCGTGTATATGGACTGGGCACACGCGAAAAGAAACATCTGTCCAACAAGAACCCCGGTCGCATTGTTGATGACAAACTCGAGGCGTGCCAAGCCGATGCCCTCGCAGGGAAGCTGACTCAAGCTAAAAGCCGTGTCAGGGTTGCCAAGGTTCAGTATGATTTCCAAGCTTACCTCTGGAAGCTCGCCCTGGTCCTGCACGTTCTTCTCGAACTTAAGCCGACCCTTGTTGTTGTCGTACCCTTCTCCCATGGCGGGCAATGTTTAGGATACTGGGGCACATCGATCTTCCTACCAGCCTCGCTGGTGAGGCAATTCGGGCCCTGTGCCTACAACCAGAAAACGATCATCTTCCACTAGCATAGAAGTTGCAATCATGAGGCTTTCCCGAATGCAAGTACTGTTGCCGTACCCCCAGATTTCATATTTTGCCAAGCGTCATGCCCAAACGCCTACCTGCGCCTGACCAGCTACGGCGCCAACAGATGCCAACACTGTCCCATGGGCTTGGCAACAACCCACCAGGAGCTCCACCCGCTGCATGATTGCTCAGACCTTGCACTGGCACTAAGCAAGCAAAGCGCGACAGAAACTCATTGATACGCACTGTGACTGTTGTAGTTCTACTCTACACTGTCTATACTGTACTTCTTCGGCTGCCCGAAGATTGTCGTTGAAGCTGTCTGTGGATGCAGGTGTAGGTTCTTCGAGGTGGTGTCGTATGACTCAGCTATTTGCGTCTTTGTTGGCAGTATCTGCACCTTGCTTCATGTTACAAAGCTGCCAGTTACGTAAGGTTTGCAGCCTTGAAAAGACTAAGATGTTAGACATTCCCCAGCATGGTAAAAGCTTCCAGGCAACTCCAAAGAGCCGTTTTTACATTTGCGTTTCGTGTAACAGCAAGTTGCCGGACGTCGCTTTAAACACCAAAGCCCCAGTTTTGCCCGGATTGAATGCTGAAGTGTGCCCGGCTCCTTGCAGGCCTCTTGGCATGCCGATGAACGAGAGTCTTATTCCAAGAGCCTGACTCCAAGTGATTCTAGTTCCGGTTTGGCAGCTTGCACTTTCAATGATCCTACGTAACCAGCTCTTCACATTGGAACCTCATGCCACAAGATCAGCGAAGTGTCCGCTTGGTCTTGGAGGTATCGACCTGAAGCCTTGGAGCCTGAATCCTCCTCAAGAAGCAGCAGTTCGCGGTTCCTTAGAGGAGGGAGTCTCGACAGTCGCACGCTAAGCAGGGGCTATTCGGTCTTGTTCCCGCTTCTGCTAGCAGTTGGAGGATGCATTGTCACTGATCCATGGTCCGCCTGGGACGGGCAAGACAACCACAGCTGCAGCCCTCTGCATCCCGGATGCAGTTGGATCAATGATACCGCTAGTTATGCTTCGGACGCCCAGTTTGGAGGAGGACCTACTACTACTACTACTATTACTACTACTACTACTACTCCTACTACTCCTACCACTACTACTACTACTACTTCTTCTACTACTACTACTATTGTTACTACTACGACGACGACTACTACTACTACGTCTACTACTACTACTACTACTACTACTACTACTTGTCCTGGCATACGATCTAGGAATGCGCTGGCAAAGCCCTGCTTGCCCACTGCAGCAGGTTATCCATGCTTCGCAGAACTGTGCAGTGTAGGCAGGACACCCTTGGCATGGATACATGGATACTTTTTTCTGCGCCCAGCCAGAGAACCGGCCAGCTTTGATTATCGCAGAGCTGTCTAGTGCTGAAGACAAGAAGGCATCCAGTCAATGATGTGAACCCCCACTCCAAATTGAACAAGCTTAAATTTGTGTTTGCAGCATGAATGGTGTAGGCCATAGTTGGCGCAGAAACGAGTAGGACAGAGAGACCGTAAGAAGCTGGCCGAGGTGTGCTCTATGCTTTGTGGAATCTTGACTGCGGCCACGTGGCTGCCGTGCTGTGGCCTGCTAGCATTGCCGCCCCGCAGGTAAAGTCTTCTTTCGAGAGTTTGCAGGCTCATGTGTTCGCGAAGCTAAGGTATTGCACTCCAAGCAATGATGCTGCGGACGTTGCTTGTCTTCGTGTTGCTGAGTCCTCGGCAAGGCATTTCCAGGCCGCAGCACCACTGGACATTCACGACTTCGGCCCAAGCAGCTACGTTGAACGGCGCGAAATTCTAGCGTCCAATGCTTGCAGATTCAGTCCATGAATTATGCGATGGCTGCGAAAAGGAAGTGCAGGCATTGTTGATTGCTGTCCGAGGGAATTATTAGTTGAGGCCATCACTGCAGGTACAGTTGTTTGCAGCGTGATAGGCTGTCATGCAACTATGCTTCGATGCATGTTTCACGTGTCAACGGCTACGCATTTCATCCAAAACAACAAGAACATGGACTGAAATGAAGACTTGCTATCATGAGAGTTTTTGACTTTGACGTGGTTGCAGTTTGACAATGTAAACCTTTGAAGCTGGACAGCCTCGCAGGCCTTGGCTACCAGACGGCGCCAAGAGGTGGTGGCAGTGACTTTGTTCAAGTTGAACACTAGGCACTCTGGGCCAGCAGCAGGTAAATTTGGGCTAAAGGTCGGTAGCTTGGGATTCGAATGGTGCTGTTCCTTTCAGCACTTGAAGTTTCTTTGATCCGTAGGGCCACTGATGCAGGCAGGTGATATGATTCCCCAGTGTGCGCTACAAGCAACGTTGTATCACTTGTGTAACTATTCTTTGAAGCAGTTGATGTTGATGTCAGTCGATCTCCAAATCAACCTGGCATCCAGGCTGGGACCAGCGAAGACTGCCCAATTTGCTTCAACGGTGGCTGCGATGCCATCACGGCGCCTGTGCTGAAATATGCGCTGCAAGAGTGTCGTAGGATGTGATTAAAGATGCACCTCATGATTTTTTACCGACACTCACTCTTCTGCCGCTCGAACGTCAGAGTTGCAAGCAGATTAGGCTGAGCATTGCAAAAAGACTGCCTTCACACATCTACGGGAAGAGGGCGCTGAAATTTGGGACCCAATGAGCATTAGCTTGTGTAGAGCCATTAACATACCTAGACTGATCAGTCAAGAATACCGCCCATGAGAGCTCTGGTCGACACACCGTCTTCCGACCAACGAAGCCGGCAACATCACCACCTAGGAACTCCCTATGAATTTTGATCTTGGGTACGGTAATTAGGTTTACGCCGCAGGACTGCATAATCTTGGTGGTATAAGTTTTCATTTTCCGTGTCAAATGAGACATCGGCATTTGCGGAGTCAAGAATCCCCCAATGAATCCATGCTTGGACAACAAATCGCAGACCAGCTCTACCCACGACATCCGGCTCCCATCATCAACATTGGGTAAATACCACTCCCCGTTAGAGATGAATTCTATCATGGCCGTCATAGCGGGGAAGTTCTTTGGGGTGTGGCCCCAGTTGATGTTTGGAAGCAGGATCTCGCGAGTGATTGATGAATATACGAACTGCTGCCCTAAAGCTGCAGCATATCGAGGATACCGTGGGGAAATGCAAGTTTGGAGGCCCTGGGGTACAGGTGCGCCATTGCGAACACACTTGAGGAACCTATCCGGGTTGAAAGGACCTGCAGAAAGCAAAAGTGAGGCGGACCTCACTGGGGGCTTTTGTTTGCCCCGAATGCGAAATGCGCAACTGGATTGGAAGTTCTGGTTTTGGGGCGGAAGGTCGTGAGAAATAGGAAAGATGCACCTCATCAATTCCAGCCTCGTGGAGTCACATTACTTGGACTCCCTCGGGACCTCAGGACTGTTAGTGGACATCAAGACGAGTGATGTCACAGCTTAGCTTGCGTGGATGCTCGTTGCCTAGGCTTGCGGCCATCAGTTCCACCGCAACTGCCTTGAGCAAGCTCGCGCAGCCGGGAACGAGTGCACTTTCCAATCATGGCATTATTTCTCAGCTTTAGGTTCCGATAGTTTTTGCGTATTGAGAGGAACTCAAGTTGTCCCCTGTGCCGCCGCCCTTTGCGCCAGTCTGAAGGAGGCACGTTGCACACTGTCTTTATCGCAAGACTATAAAATAAGCTATGGAAGATTTCCATTGGAGGGGCCAAAGTACGCAGCACCTGCTTCTCTGATCGATTGAACTCAGTGAATAATCATATTACAGTCCCCATCAATTTAGTTGTAGAGTGGAGATGGAAGATTACGGTCATTTATAGTGGTCTGTATAAACCATTACTATACGAAATCTGTTTGATTTACCCAGAGAGACCCTCAGTCGCTTTGCGGGCACAGAAGAGGTTCACGCCCAGACTGTATCTTCCTGCTTCTTGTCTAGCTGCCCCTGACCTTGAGCAGGCTTGACAGCGCTGCGCGTCTACAGTGCGGAGATGGAGCGTGGAGACTTCCCAGTGCTTGAATTTCCAACCTGCCTCTGCTCACTCCATGTCCCCCAAATTCGGTACTACCAGGAACGCTCTGAACAAAAGTAGTCTTGGCCCTTTCAAAAGTAGTCTTCAGGGAACGTTTCTGAGATTGGGATTTTCTTTGGGAGGGGTATTTGTTTCTAGCGGGGTTATTCTAAGAGGGAAGCGATCAGCCTGAACCTTGGTCACACGAAGCACGCAGGTTCAGAAACTCAATCCAACGTTCCTGATGCTTTTATGGAAGTTATCCGTAACAAGCCTTTCTGCTGCTCGCAGGTGCCAAAGCGCATCGATCACCCCAGTGCGAAGCCGCGGAAAGTCAAGACAGTTCCAGAGGCCTTTCAGAACTTCCACAGCACATTTTGGAAACTCCCTATGCAGAACAGAGTACGCCAAATGCAGCAAACCTGCTGCGCCCTTTCTATTGCTTTCGCGCTCTTTGGGCAGGCCATGCGCCCGTTCGCGCTTCATTGGCGATGCCATGGCCGAGCACCGGGTGCCTGGCTAGCAAGGGGAGGGCATACTTCGCACATCACACATCCCACGCAAATTGACAGTGCTTTAGCCGCGAGATGTGCAAGGGCGCAGCTTGAGTCCTAGCTAGCTGATCCTGTACAAGCGGTGTGTCGTCGAGGCATATTGTATGTTCCAGTTGAGGGTCTTTTGGCATGTGATCCGACAGCGCGAGAGTAGGGCTTTTTACGGGCATCGTCCTTCTGTAAGGTGTAGAGCCCACGCCGGAAGCCTTGGAAGTCAGCGCTGCCTACGATAGAATGACTCTCGGAGCATTTTCTGCGGTTTCAATAAAGCTTCTCTGATGCTGACCGCTGCAACTATGGTTACCAGCCTCACCTCAGCTACTTTTCAATGTACCCGTCATTTCATGTAGGTGAGCAGGTTGTCTCCCCGCCGTCATGGTGCCGCACCACTGTGCAAACGTTGGGAATCGCCTTGTGCTTTGAGATGTGGGCCAAAACCGAAGTTGAGAGTTCCATTTCATTCGACACTCATCCTGCATTTCTGCGATAGAGCAGAAACTGCTACAAATCAAGTAAAGACTCCCAACTTCCATCATTTGCTAAGCTATCGGCTTCGATGCAGGTTGCTGGATTTGATGTGGTCAAGCATCGCTTAAGGTTTGTGGGGGCAACAATTGCCGTGCGCATAGACCGTTTCGATGCCAATCGCGGCCCACGCTCGTTGAACGCGTGCTGCAGATAGACTAGACCCGCCCTTCTCCTGTCGTTGTCAGTCCAAGTGCTCGTCGCCTTGTGACTTGTCGGCTGCCGCCAGTCTATTCTCTTGAGTCCTGCTGGCGGCATGTTGAAAGGCTGCATCCCACTTCGCTTGCCGGATCTCACGAACTTGTAAATGTCGCGCCCACAACATTGCATACATGAGAATACAGACTGACCGACCACAGGCATTTTTTTAATCGCTTCAGCATCAATGGAAAGGAGATCAAACGAAAGTGAGTTTCAAATCGCCCCTCTTAAGTCAATAAGAGAGGGGAGTTTTTCACGATGTCGAGGCCTCTCATTATCAGCATGCTAGGATTACACATCAGAAGTTGCATGAAAACAAATTGACTCAACAGGTCTTGCGTGTCTCTGTGCCGGTTTGTCGCTTCTGCTAGCCTAAAAGCACTGCTGTGAATGTGACTGCTGTGAATGTGACTGCTTTCTCGAAAGATGCTGCTGCGGCCTTTAGTTGCTTTGTCTCTACTGAGGCTTCAAGCGGGCCTGGGCAGTTCCATGTTTGATGAGCTTCGCATGGAGCCCATCGGAAGCAGTACGGTTCAATGAGCTTTGCCAGGTTAGCAGTTGTGAGAGTCCAAAACTACAGGATGTGGAAACAAGTAGTAGGTACTACTTGGCTCTCTCAGCTGCTCGCGCTGCGGAGCTGCGACGTGCAGATGTGGCCAGAGCCCAAGGAGACCGCTGGTAACGGGTTCGAATCAAAGTTGCAAAGCAACGTCACGTGCAGAAGGCGTGCCGTCACAATTACGCAATGATGTTGATCTAAGACGGACGCATATTGAAGATAGACCGCAGAGGATGCCTGTTGGGAAGAATGAACTGTGGATTCTGTCCTGTAAGTCTAGGTACTGCACGTGAAGCAGCCAACATGCTGCAGCATCTCTTTGGAAAGCATTTGGCCCACGTCTCAAGTGGATGTCGGTTGGATTTGCACTTCAGATGAAGGTCTTTGCTACTTGCATTTCGGCGCGACGCGGCGGGCTTGCAGCGGCTTTGCAGGCAAATGGGACTTGAAAGTGTGCAGGGGCCATCGTCTTTGCTCCAATTGAGGGCAGTATAGACTTGAGGAGCCGGACGTGCATGCCCTGTCGGTCCTGTTTCAGTGACAAACTATGACAGGCGCGCGGGGCCCCTGAGCTGTTGCAAGTGGTGCTGGACGAGGCCCATCTTGCTCGGGTATCTGGGGTCGCAAGCAGGTGCAGGGATATGCGGGGGGAATTCAAAGCTTGGCTCGAAACCGGGCCTGCTGGTTATGCCAAAAGGTGCTCAAATTGGGTTGGGTAATTTCTGGATGGCTTCGCGCGTTGATTTTGATGCTTGTGAGATAGGAACCTGGAGCATGGCCATGCGCGCAAGAGCCAAGTCAGTGATCAGCTCATCAGCTGCAGTGATTGGTTGACAGGCTGGTCAAGCACCGGAACCAGAAGCACTATGCCCAATGACATTGGCTGCCTGGATGACTCAGTGTTGTGGGATTTCGACGATGAGCTTGACTTGGGTGGCTGGGTAGCTGCATACGCACGATGTCGGCTAGCCGGTTTGACGGCTTCACCTGCAAGAAGAGCACGCATCTGCAAGGCAAGAAATGCGAAAAAGATCGTGCTAGTTGGCGATCCAAAGCAGTGCCTTGGACCGTGATTTCATGCTTGGCTTCAACCACCTTCGACCTACCAGCTAATGTTGCTGCTCAGGGGCAAGTGTAACTTACTATAGTCATCAATGATCTCTGTCTTACTTCTCGCTGACCAGCTGTCAGCTGATTGACAGTGCTGTGGCACCTGATGTTGTTGTGCTTACGGTTTGGCTGCATTGAAGGGTCACTGAGTCACCGTTTTACTCCTAGCCCTCGTGTCGGCTTCTCCTTCTGGCGCAACTCGAATGCACAGCTGTGACAAAGTTCCTTGCAAGAAAGTGGCACGCGTGCCCGGATGGAGCATTCAGTCAGCTCTTCGTTGTTTGCGGGAATTCACGTTGTTGCGATGCAGCCAAAGGCTTCGGCCAATCATCATCAGCCCACACGCAGAGAGAATGGGGCTCAACATATCATTGCTAGCACCCAGGCAGCAGTAGTGCAAAGTGAGACAGACATTTCAGAGTGCAGACTGGGATCCGCAATTTGAGGAGCGATTGAGCGAAGCCCCAGCGGGCAGACCTCGGCGGGCTCCTTAGTGCGGCACTCGAAGCCTGCAAGCTGCCTGCAAGTTGAGTGCAAGCTGCAAGTCTGTAGACTTACTGCAGAGGCCTTAGGATAGCTGCTGCAGACCAAAGCTCATCAGATTCGAATCTGCTAAAGATATGGGAGTTTCTGTCCCATGGCTATGCTGACCGCCAGCCTTTTGCCACTTCGCGACGGCTACACAAGGCTTCTCTCTCTGCAGTATCGGATGCATGAGGACAGACTTACTATGCACGTTGATGTACTGTCTTTGCGTGAGTGGTAGTGAAACATGGACTTGCTGACTAATCCAAATTAAATCTGATGATGGAAAGTGTTTGGCGGATGTGCAATCTGCAGAGTCACGTTGGGTGAGAGTGGCCAGGACCTCAATGCATTTCCAGCGGCATACTTCTACGGCGGGCGGGTCCGCACTGACCCTTTGCTGCAAGCAAACTGAGGGATGAGTGGACTTGACTATGTGAAGCCAAAGCTCTCAGTAGGAAGCTTAAAGACCGAGGATCCAGCTGTTTTGGCACGCCCGCCGGGGCACTTGGCACACCCAACACGGCACCTTGGAGAGAACAGCCTCAAAGTCCAAACCATGCATTGCTGCATGCTCCGCTGGCAAGCCAATAAGTATGGTGCCAGCTGGCCTGAGCACTTGCAGTACTTCGATTGCGGCCACATGCCAGCTGCAATAAGCTGGTCAAGCTCTAGTAGGATCCAGGCAGGCTCATGCAGCCTGCATACAGTGTGTCCGAAATCATGTATGGCATCAGTAGGAATCTTTTCCACGTGGTGGTTTGTTCTTTTCTTAGGCCCACTACACCAAAGCCCTTGCTTTTCTGGACGTCCGGTACCGGACCCTCTGAGCAGTGCCTCGGTGGTGAGCCCGTCAAATGTTGCGATTTGGGGGCAGAAGTGCATTGTTTCTGTAAGTAGGTCACCAGCAGTAGCTGTATGACCTGCTGTTTATGTATGCGCATAGTGACCTGGTGCAGCAGCACAGAAAGCTTAACATCTTCTTTTCCATTCAATTTGTCACTTTTTACTGTCTTGCACAAGTTAAAGTCCAAAGCTCGACTTCAGGATTTCGCAGGTTCGGAGCTCAGCTGCCAGCGCAAAGTCTCGCTTCAACCTGGCGGAGGCTGGAGCGTCGCAGCACAAGTGGTCTAGAGTGTGTCATGAGCCTGCCGCGCTTCCCTGCAAGAGTCAATCTCTGGATGTTAGTGCTTGCTGGCCGTGGGAAGACGTGCCGTTTTCCGAACTACACTCGGCAGCCAGTTCACGCTGACCGCACTCTTCAGCTAACAACTGCAAGCAGTTGTGTATGGTAGGCATGTAAAAGGAGAGGTTTCCAGTCACAGTTGCTAGTGAGTCTTGCCACGAGCCGTAGAATTAGCCTGAGAGGCTGAGCGCGCTGCCTCCCTGGCGCGTGCGTTGGCTACCAAAGTCGGCGGGAGCCGTGTAGCTTGCCATGTTCGGTTTACCCAGTAAGCAGACTCTGCATCGTCACACATTAACCGTGACAGAACTCCATAAGTGTTTGCCGCCAGCCTTTCCCTCGCCACATCTTTCCCGCCATGGTTTCGTTTGTTCGGTCTTGTGGCCTTATGTGGCCTTTTGCCATTTCTGTCAGATCAGCAGCATCACGTCAGTTGCAAGTTACGCCACATCGAAACCTGCAGGTAGCCTGTACCAGCCCACCCTTTGGAAATAGTTACCATGACCGCATCCAGATCTGGTGCATTCGGCTGGCTGAAGTGACCCTGAAAACCGTGAAACGTTGCTTTATCTGTGCAAGTTCCAAATGGAAGCCTAGGCCCACGCATTGAACAGTTGATAACGAGCCTTAACAAAACATGGCCAGGCATGAACAAATGCTACGCATCAACAAAACCATGGCTGCTTTTGAAAGGAAGCTGGGAAGGAAATCGCAAACTTGGAAGCCGGACCTCTGGTCTCCCTGTCCTTTGGTGCTTTGGCATCTTTTGCCAGCAAATAGGAAGGCAGGCAGGCCTCAAAGTGGAAAAATTGCCAACTCCAGCTGCCCTGCATCGTTCAATGCTATCAAAATGACAAGATGGTGGGCAAAGATGAACAAGTGCTGCAATGTCAACGTAGCTTCGAATCAGCATTAATGTCTTGCGGGCTTCTTCGCAGAAATAGGTCCTGGCATGATTGCAGAGATTGGACGCGAGAAATAGAACATCTTCAATCCTTCTGCAGCTGAAGGTAGGTTTGGAAGATTCAAACTGCGCAATCACGAAGTCATAGCTACGGCTGCACGGATGCACTCGACCAACTCTGGATCCCGGTTTTTCTTCTCCTCTTCGGAGAGACTCCTGCAAGTAAGTCCGTCCACTGCTTGCACAAGTTGTTGCTTTTTGACATCACTCATCTGTAACTTCTGGATCCACGCGTTGATGGCTGCAGCCGCGTTCTTTGCGGGAGGACGCTGCTTCTGCGGCAACACATAGCGTGAAATTGACATGGCTGAGTGCGTCAGGAGGTGGCCGCATGTGGCCATTTCGGCTTTAGCATCTCACTGTCCTCATCCTTCGAGGTCATGGCATCGACTCTCGGTGGTGGGGGCCGGTAGGCTGCTAACCACGCCGCAGGCATAGTGGAATCTGCTTACCTCCGTTGCCATTTTACACTGCGGATTCTCGTGGGCCATCTGCATGCAGCGCAGCTGCTGGAGTATTCTTTGATCGTGTGACTACTGCCTGTGCCTACGACCATCAACCTACGGAGACTTAGCTAGCTGCGTTTCGAAACGTCGGCAATTTGGATGTTTCGGCAGCAATTAGACAATTTCTTTCCGAAAACTGAGTAATATTGTATCGAGTCATGTACTGCCTGAGGCGTCCAGTCACCTTTGGGAGGTTGACCACACATATATGATCATATATGGTTACCAGATATGCATACATGATCCCGGAAGCAGCATCCTGTAAGCGTCGCCAATTTTAGATCGCACTGCTTTCAGCGTGTTTCAAAAATACCACCGGTCACAAGGGTTGGAGTGGTCCTCATCACGATTCTCGCAACCGTCATCACATGTCGTCGCATTTAAAGCCTCGTGTTGTATATACTGTTGTCGCGTTTCAAAGTATTCACAGTCACAGGGATCGTGGCGTCCTGATCTTCTGTAAGCCCTCTACAAAATCATGAACATTCTCTAAACCTTCTTGAAACCTTCCGTAAACCGTTCATAAACACAACCCTTTATAACCCCACCATAAACTACTTAATGAAAACCGCACGACCCGGCTCGCAGGACCTCATGGGCAGGATTGGGGGAAAGCAATTTAATCCTAACTTAGAGCCTGGAAGATAGTCACCATACTATGGGATGGAGGGGGAAGTCCAGAATAGAATGGGAGCACCATGTCAGTGGAACCCCAAATCCCCAAACACACCAGAGGGGGGTAGGGGATTTTTTTCCGAATATTCCTAGCCGAAAACCAACAACCACACTGCAAGGGCGAGAACCATCGGTTGAGGGGGGGGAAGGCGGCCACTCCTGGATAATCCCGGATTATACATTCATACCTACATACCTACATACCTACGTACCTACGTACCTACATACCTGCATACCTACATACATATGTACGTAAGTACATACATACTACCTACATACATACATACATACATACATGAATACATACATGAATACATACATGAATACATACATGATTACATACATGAATACATACATACATACATACATGCATACATACATACATACATACATACATACATACATACACTCACCCACGGAAAAAGGGTCCGCAGTTGTTGAATGTTAGATCTGAGCGACAATCTAAGTTTGTACATGAGTTTCATTACTTCGTTGAAGATCCAGAGTCTTGCATAAACAGCCATGAGCAGCATGCATTGAAAGTAGGCTTCTGCCCATGACGGTCCTCATTTCTGTGAGTACCGTATGCCTTGGAACTGGCAACCAAATTCAACAGGTCTTGACTTGTAGATCCAGATTGATGGCTTCCCCTGGCCACACCCTCCTGATGCTAAGTGCTCAACCCAGTGAGCGCCTCCTACAGTAAAATCCTGGAAGCTTACTCTCAGAAGGGTGCGACTACTGCTAAAAGGTGCCACTGAGAAGGTACCAAGAATAAATAACGGGCGTTAATCCTCGGGCTATACGTTCTGCAGAGGTCGCCGTGCTGACCTGGTACAACGCACAGGCTGAAAATTGTGAGTTGAGGGAAGGGGGCACTCTCGTCTTTTGACTCCGGGCCGAACGGAACTTGTAGGTAGAAACGTACACTGCAGTTGCTGAACCATGAGCGGTGCCCAGCGCACTCGCTTGAGGATTCTTAAGAACAATTAACTCGTATCATCAATGTCTTCTCTCCGCTTCAGTTCTTGGCCTCTGGGCAGGTGGCACACTTGAGTGAAGCCCTATCTGGGACTTCAATTCACGTTGGCGGTGTGGTTTCCTCACAGGGCAATGAGTCTTAGCAGAAGTTGGCATTTACCAGGAGCGCCTTTACGTCCTGGTTGGAGTCACGGAGACATGTCGCAGAAGGATCATGGCGGTTGAAGTCAGGTTCTGCCTGTTCGCATTTTCAGCTGAGACAGCCATGCCTCAAAGAGCTCATGTATTAAACTCAGGCTGACGTCAAGAAACTTGCAATAGTCGTCAAACAGCAGGTCATCTGTTCACCTGGCAACAACGTCGAAGGTCTCCCACCCACGCAAGTATGTCCATCATGCAAATAACTCGCAATGCATACAGCTCTTGAGAGAGTTTTCAGGAATGGGATTATGTTCTTCTGTCAACGGTGCGCAACTCCCCTGGTGGACTTGGTGCGTTGGAGGACCAGCTGTTGGCATAATTATTCTGGCCTGTGTTTCTGTGTTCACGTATATATACAGTTTAGATATATTGTATCACCGCTTGCCGTCCGGCCCTGCTAATGGGTTCCTGTGTGTTGATTCGTCTTTTTGGAGCACAGCGTCCACAAGCAGAAGCACGTGTTGAGAAACGAGCACAGCAAGGGTTCTATCCTCAGGATGTGCGTGTGTTTCTTGCGTATTTGATGGGACAGTGCGCGCAGTGAGCAAACATGCAATACTGAGCCTGCCGACAAGAAGATCTTGGTCCCACAGTGCCGAGCAGAGCATGAATTGTACAGCTTATGTTTAGGCTTTTGAATACGCCTAGGGTCAGCGCTCCTTGTTGGCCATCCAATTCGTGTGCTGGCGGAGCTTTTGCCATCTGGCGAAGCGGAGTGTATACCAGTGTATCTGAGCTTGGGGAAGGATGAGCATCTGCTGGATGTGGCCTTGACCAGGGCACGCAAGGGCCTCTTGGCCAAACTTCGATGTCAGGCTCGATTATCGTGCTATCCTGTTCTCCATACTGACACTTCGTTTTGACATTGGTACCCCTTGGAATATGGGGGTGGGTCACCCCTGGAAATTCCTAGTTTCTATTTTCATGTTCCTATTCTCTTGAGGGTGGGGGGGGGGGCAAGGCAGAAATAGTAATTCTTGACATGTGGTTTGAGGGTATGTTGAGGTATGTTGCTTAAGATGGATAAATCGTGGTTAAAGATAGGGTTTCGCCCTAGTGGTTGCAGGCGAAAGGTGACAGGGTTGGGCCCTAGTGGTTATAGGCGTAGGTTAGGGGATGGGGGTTCACCCTTGAGGTTACAGGCGCAAGGCTAGGTGATAGGGGTTCGCCCTAGTTGTTACAGGCGATACGTGATGGGGTTTCGCCCTAATGGTTACTGGCAATAGCATAGGTGCTGGGGGTTTGGACATCCGTGTGGGCAATCCAAAAACTCCTTAAGCCCTAATTTAGTTCTTCGCCCAAACCCCAACCCCCCAACCTCCCAGCCCATCCCCCCCATTTTCAGTAGTGGTAATAATGTGTTACACACTGCGGTAGCAGAGCGCGCACCGCTGTGTCTATTGGTTTCCAGTGACTGTGCTGTACACACATAGACGCTGGGCTATACATCCAACAACACTACACTGTGCATGCCAACACAAGCCTGAAAAGGGGGAAAGTCAGAAGAGTAACTTCACCTTCACGAGCGGGAACTTCCCGACACATGTACTTGTGAACCTCGACCTCAGGCATGTGTGTGCTTGGTGCGCCTGAAACGCTGAGACGCGTAGCTGCATGGTCCTGTTTCATAGACCACTGCGAATCGCGTGGCCTCATGACTGCTTTTCAGCCCATTGTTCTTCCATAGCTGCATGGGCTGCTTACATTACATGTCGTCTGACGTAGGATACCGTAAGTGCACTGTCAGGTGTTCTGATGATTTTCCGTCGTTTGCTTTGCAGCCTGTTTGTATTGTCGGTAAGGGCACTCATGCACCTAGATGAAGCGAACCACAAACAAAGTGCAGGATTGTGCAAGGGAAGCAGTTCTTGCCAAAGCAAGCTACTGTGCTGCCAGTGTGTGGCTTCGCCACTGCGTTGATGCGCAGGCTTTCGCTCAAAGTCAGCAATTTTCAGGATAGCGCTGAGTACAGCTGTTACCTCAATTCGAGGAAGATGAGGAAGCCTTGCAATCATGGCCGGGGATAAAGACGTGAAATCAGTTTTGCTATCAGTATCCTGCAGGTAAAATATGTGCGCCTCCCTGAAGGCAAGCCAGGTCACCATCGCAAGACCCTCGTGGTTTCGCACAATTGGCAGGTGCGCGTTGTTTTTATCCTACCTGAGTTTTCCACGACGCTGGAGGTAGACTGGGGGTATGGGGGATTCTCGATGCAGCTTTGTTCATGGGTAGCTCAGTGATGCACCTGAGGGCTTTTTACAGCGCAAGCTTACGCACCTACACATGCATGGTTAGCGTTTCATACCATTTGTAAGTTGCAAGCTTTCTGTGATTTTCTGTGACTACCCTCTGCTTAGGGGCAGGGTGGCGACGCCGGGAGAACAACTGGTTTTCTGCAGGGTTCTAGGATACCGCAATCTTGAGAAGCCGGCGCATGCACTTCGCAACTTGTCAACCATTTTTCTGGATTTCTGCAAAAAGCAAGCAAGCTTGTGGGGCCTCTGTCGTACGACACTATATAACCCGCAGAAGGTTTACTCGATGCCACGATGTTACGTTGGGTTCGCAGAGACCTTACCAAAATCCGCACAAGTCCGCACACCTTGAAGTTATAGTTCTGAGCCTCTTGACATCACGGTAAATTGACTTGAAAGCCAACAGGGGTTCAGGCTTGCGGATTTATGGTGATGGAAATATTTGTTGTTTAATGCTGTAGGGTCTTGAGTCTTGTCGTTTCCATTGTGCTCAACACCTCGTTGTCAGGCTCGGTCAGATTCTTGTTAAATGCCTGGTGATTCCGATATGTGGGCATGTGGAGGCGGCGATTCGCGTGGGTCCGGGTGAAAGCATCGACGGTCCCACGAAAGGGCTAAGGGCTGGCTGCTGGCTGCTGGCTGGTGGAAGTTGTGCTGCGCAGGAGTTTGGGTTTATGGCGCACGTCCTTCCCTGAAAACCACCTTTCGTGGGTCCTGGCTGGTGGTGGTATCAGAGGGAGCTGTGTTGCTTCTTCCGAATCTGGTCCGCTGTGTCTTGTGGTTCATCGGTGCGAAGATAAAGTTGGGTCACGACACTTATGATTTGTGTAGGGCAGGGACTGAGACTTGCTCTTGGCAGCTATTGTGCAGCATGCAGCTCCGATTTCATAATTTTTGGAGGTTTGTTTCGCGCGAGATCATGCGGGCTTCCCAGATCTATACAGATGCCTTTTGAGGTTCCTGCTCGCTTCAGGGAAACAGTTGGCTTGTCGTGGGCGAGCGCCCCTCCAGATCTTCTTTTGTCCTGGTTTGTGGTTCATCTGCTGTCAACGGGGCATGTGTGTCGGTTGTGCACCTGATTTTGCCGATTCAGTTTTCAGTCAGTTCAGTTTTCGGTTTTGACTGTTGGATTCTGGTTATTAATTGGTCGGAGTGTTTTGTATCCGGATACTCTTGGGCTGGAGCTGGAAAATTTTCAGTCCTAGCCCATGGTATTAGTTTGCTCGCGGTATCATTCGTCTCAGCTTACACAGCGCAAACATAGGAGGGATATGCCGTCTCCCGGAATGTCTTGCTATTTCACAGATTTATACATTTTGATCTTGTCCACAGGCTGTGCAACCCAAATATCCAAAAGGAAGGACAGCACTTGTGATGTGCCTGAACTTGAACATGGCAGTTTTGAAAGGTCATTTGCTGCGTTGCTGTTTTTTTAAGGGTATGAATCGGTATGAAGAGCACGCAAGGCTGATTCTCAAAAGGTGCTTTGAGATTTTGGATGTTGTGCTTATAATCTTTTGCTTAGAAACTAGAAACTTCTACCACATGGTCCCGCAGCGTATGATTGGTCCGCGCATGGCACACAGTATCCAAGGTCGGGCAAAGGCAACATAATTTTTCTTTTTCCCCTTCCAACCCTCCCGGAAGTGGGGAAAACATTAAGGGGGCAGCATGTGTGTCGTGGTGCTTCCCGCATGATGGAAAAAGTAGTGCTTTCGCACCACTCAAGTAATAGGTTGCGGTTGTGATGTTGACATGCCGCTGAAATGCTAGTGAAGAGCTGAGCAAATTAAGCCTTCTAGAGTTGAATGCGTTTATGGAATGTATGTGTATGGAAACTTTTTTGCACATTCTCTAGAGAGTTGAGGCAGTATTGGAGACACCATGGAACAGAGGCTGTTTTCAACAAAGTGACATGCATGTTTAATGTGTCATGGCTAAACTTGAGAATATTTACGTTGTTACAGAAGCAGTGGTCCCGTCCAAAGCCCTTTCCTTGCCAAGATAAATTGAGGACATGTTTATCGTCAACAGACCATGACACGCTAGCAGAAGATCAAAACGAGCCGAGTTCAACTGCCAGTAGAGCCCACATCAAAACTGCAAATCAGCAGATTCCACCAGGAGCCTAGCTGAGCCCACTTGATGAAGCGGGTGAAACAACGCGCAAGACCAGCGCATCTTTCGTGCGGCAGATGACGCAGGAGCTTTCGCCACACGTCGCTGTTGTTGACACATTGACAAATTCTGTTTGCATCATACATGGGCCAGTTTTCCATGTGTTTCGATGTTTACTGGTTCCTGTCCTTCTTTTCGTTATTGCAATGGGATTGAGTGGGATAGGCGCGAATCGGATTTGCTGTCTAACAACAACGATATGCGCCTGGAACTCCGGCGGGGGGTCTCATGGCCTTCTGCATGCAGGCAGAGAGAGATAGAGAGAGATATGCGCCTGCAGGCGCGCTACGGCCAATCTGTAAAGATGCTTAGCCTTGGAGATCTTGAACCTACACCCTAAGTTCACAGGGGAAAGCCAGCAATCTGCTGAAGCTGTGGGATGGGAGCGGTTGGGCAAGCTTTGCATGACGCACTTCTCAAGAGTGCATTGTTTTAAATGTTTGAGGTTTCACAGTGCTGAAAACGAGACCACAAATTCAGTGCATAAACAACCTGAATCCTAGTCTGTCCTTTTACCTATTATCCCAATATGGTCCCCATATAGCCCCCATGGGCGGCTTTAGAAAGCCTGCTCTGAGTGATGACATGTTTTTACCAGCTAATCTCAACACTGTCATGATTTGAGCCAAAGTTGATCCCAAATCCTAAACCCTTGACCCCCCGCAAACTCTAAGTAATGGTAATAAACCCGAAACCGCGTATCAGCATCCCAATGGATCTTTCCATGTAGCTCATGGCGCAATGGCGTTTCGCTGTCTTTGCAGCTTGTGCAGCCCTGTTGGCTGTCGGGTACCTGCTGCAAGAATGCCACAGCAGTGTACAAAGCATACAAAGCATGCTAGCAAAAAACGTGCTGGACAAGAAGCCGCAGGCAGAACATGTGGGCTGTCCAGCATGTCCCAAGCCGCAGTGCAAATCGGAGGCCCCGAAAGCATTGGAGAATACTCAGCCTCAGAACACAGAGGAAATGAGAAGACTGGCAGA